AAAATCAAGGTTGTAACTCTGTCCTGCTGGTCTTAGTTTTCCAGAATGCACCAAAATCCAGTGATTTTTCATGGTCTTATCTCCCCGGGCAAAAAGTTAATCCTGTGTTTAGAAAGGCACTTAAGAGTTTTATCTAAACCACACTTATTCAGCAAGCCAGTTGAGACTATGCTTAGTGGCAATAAGGTCCTTTAAAACTAGATTGAGTGCTGATTTTCAGCAGTGCTGGAGTAACAAACCAGGATCCAATCCCCACATTTATGGCCAAGGAGATCTCTTCATACAGAGCTGAAGAGAAAGACACCTAAGCAGGGAATCCAAAAAGCTCCCACTGCAATTGGGAGCCAGGCAGAGGCAGGTGAGTAAATCCCAAGCACAGGGGACTCTCTCCATTTCCATGCCCTTCAGGGCTCTGCCATCTCTGGATTATGGATGCAGTGTCCAGACCTTGTGATTTTTTCATCTATTTCCACTAAAACGGAGCAGAGCTCTCAGATCATTCTACACAGACACAAGCACAAAGCACCTTTCCTGCCTGGGAGAAGAGACATTTACCTGAGCTTGCACCCATGGATCCTCTTTATCCCAGAAAGGAGCCAATCCCAAACCCTGCCAAGCTCCAGTTTAGTTGATACTGACAATGGATTTGGAAAGTTGACTCTCTTTCTATTTTCATTTATCATAAAAGATTTCTAGATTCAATTAACCTCTCTCACCTTTTTATTTGGGGCAGGGGGAGGAAGGAAAAGAAAGGGAAAGAAAGACTCTTAAATCTGTTCTCTGAGTCATTATATGATATTGCATTTCAATTACATTATGGGCTGAATTTGGCTGTCTCTTTAGATAAATCAATATCAAAGCAGTCTTTCAAAAGGCAAAGGCTTGTTTGAGTTTACTTTGCCATGGCATTACCAAGACTTCATTAATTTTTATAGCTACTGAGTTTGTTTTATCCTCATTTTTATTTTTCATGTCTGTTTTTCTTTGCTTCCATGCATGGAATTGATTTTAAAAGAATTTGTAAAAACATGCCCAACATATGAGTAATCTTTCCTTTTTCTGATATTACACCATTTTCTTCAAAATTAATCATTTGAAGAAAAACACTTTTTTTTTTTTAGACACAAGAATTTAACACTCACAACTTTGAATTCTGATTTGCACATCCTGAAGCTGAGTTGAGACCTATCAGTCTGAAGTGATGTTCAGACCAATATCAGTGCTTATGATTCCAACTCATCAGAATAATAGGATTAAACAATAGTGTGATTTAATTCTAAGCTGAAAGATAATATATTGGTAAAAAAGACCATTTTCTGAATGTTTTCTCAGACCCTGTAAGGCCTTTGACATGTTCATTTAAAGATTAGAACAAGGTGGCATAAATCCAATTCACCTGAATGCTCACATAAAGAGACCTTTTCTAGAAACCTTGCAAGTGAAGTGACAGACAGAATGAGATAAATATTAGAGTTTTAAGGATAAGAGTATTTATTTTACCAAGAAGTCTCATGCATGGCTTAACCTGCCTCTCAGCATCAAGCTTTACAAAACTGTATCAGTTTTCTGGAAGTTCACTCAGAGAAATGAAAGGAAATAAAACTGAGTACAAATGGTCAACTCAAGGAATAAAGTCCAGTCCTGCTTTGCTCTAACTCAAGGTGTTTTTGCCAGGAATGACTCTTCTCTCCCCAATGATTTTTAGGTTGTTTCTATACTGAATTTAACTATTTAAATGTGGAAGCCTAGATACAGCTGGATGGTTCTCCTTTGAAAACCAACCAGTGCACCCAAGATGATTTAAAATTGATTTTGGATTAAAAAAATCAAGAAAAATTGATTACAAAAAGTCAAAGGGGCTACCACTCATCCCACATTCATGGATGACTTCTTCCCATTCTGATGGAAATTCCTGCCTCCTTCCCCCTGCCAACCACCCTCCCGCTCCTCTTCCTTTCTTGGGCTGATGCCCTGTTTAATTCCAGCCCTGGGAGCTCTTTTCCCAGGAAACGTTTCCCATTTGGCACTGGAATAAGGCTGCTTGTTTGCTCACTTCCTTACATAGTTCTTTGCATTCTATAAAAGGTAAATCAGAAAATACCATTCTGATCAAATATCCAAATACATTCCAAGTCAGTGCCAGCTTCTGCTCCTCACTCTACACTGACTGCAGTCCTCCAGTCAGTCTTCAGGAATAAGACCAGAACAAAAAACCCAAGCTGTAATGATAAATGCATATACAATGCCATCCTTTTCCAACACCTGGCAGGTATAGAGAGACAGTTTCCACCCAGAGTGACAGCATGAACCAGCAGGGTCCTCTTTAAAACAGAATTTCATTCCTTCTTCAGACATTTGATTAAAAACTCGGGTTTCTATCTGGTTTATTTCAAAGCTTAATGTGATTTTCTACTGTCATTCTTTTATACTCTAACAAATTTCTCTTTTTTTTAATTATAAAGGAATGATAAGGGGAAATGTTTCTGTGAACCCTTTAAATACCAAAATTCTCACACACTGCAGCCTCCAAATGGCACAGGCAGCCTGGCTGGGCATGTCCTGCTCAGGGAACAAACCTGACATTATGTCTAGGATAAATGACCAGAGCTGCCAGGAATGTCTTTAGGAATGGGCCAGCCTTCTGATTTCGTTCAATAATTGACTCTGTAGTGGCATTTTCCTGCATTCATACAGAAAAAGTGCTTTTTGTGTAATTATTTTCCTTGGAACAACCTTAGCCACATTTTTGGAGGAAGGTGAAAGGCAGAAGCCAGGAAAGCAGAGTGGGAGGGGGAGGAAACATCTCTGATTCAAGTAGCAGCTTATTTATGACACTTGTTCATACCTTTTAAAATCCTGTGTTCTTCCCAATCTATAGAATAAACTTGAAAAAGCAATCAAGTACTAATCTGGCAGCCTCTGAAACATTGCACATTTCTATAGCTGTTATATTGAATCTATCCTTTATAAATGCAACTGCAGCTGTTCCCAGCACCAGTGTCTTGCCTCAAGTTTGAATTTTACTATTTGCTGTTATTTTCAGGTTATTGCTACCAGCAGGAGATAATAAATTGGGTTCTAAAGTGTCTTGTTTCCCTATATATTTTTACTGAGGTAATGATTTGGAGGAAGAGGAAATCAGCTCTGATATGATTATTTCCATAATGCAATTTTAAGCCAATAAATAAATTATCTTTGAATAGAGTCATGTGGACAGATCCTTGCAGGCACACATACTCACACTA